CTTACACCTTTATACTCCAAAACATCCCACATTTTCATTTAGTTTTAAAGCTTTAAAAGTTGGGTAAATAATTTAGGTTTTATTTTGATATGTTACCATATTTGTGAGCTTTCATTTAAATAGAGCTTTTTTATGGTTGGATAAAATAGAGAGTTACCAATCATAACTATTGGGATACATGAGCAAAGAACTCAGGTCTAGACTAAACTAAGTAAATAACACCATTAGGAAGGACCAACAACAGACTGGAATGATTGAAATTCAGCAAAGGAGATTCCTGCAGATTCTAAAAGTCTTGGCAGCCCAGGAGGCCTAGATCAGAGAGAGGCAGGCCAGACATTTTTGAAGCTGTGAAATGAAGCCAAAATCTGGGAATTCAAGATTAGAAGAAGGAGCCCCAGTAAACAACGTTGGTGAACTTCAGCTCCATGGACAAGTCGAGTGTGGGTTTCCTAATCCACAGGTGGTTAATTGTAACCAGAAGAAATCAGAAATCTACCAGTGATCTGTCTCTAGGGCTAGGGCCAAGATGTGAATGACTTCACAGGAAGGTAGTGACAATAGTTTAGCTAACTTTGCTTGAGAGTTCTTCCATTTGATTCTTGCTGCAACTTACTTCATTTTCATGCAAAAAGGATGAATGTACCTTTCCTCAAAATAATGAAATATATGTCCAGGTGGACTGACACCATTGGTAATTTGATTTTTCAAAGTCATCAATATGTTGTACACGTGAAAAAAGGAAATTACCTAGTAAGCAAATGTTTCCAGAAAGGTGAATGAAAATGATTGGAATTATTGATATCTTTAGATGGATATAGTTTTAAACAGAAGATTTAAATATTTTCTTCACAATACGTGTATGTTGTGTGGGTCCACGATCAATTCAATTTAGAACCATGAATGTGAGCAAGGAGCAGACTGTCGTGGTAACTGTAGGCTAAAGAGAGTCTTTTATTTAGCTCTATGTTTTCATGCGTTTTCAAGCACCTCAAATATAGAATTTCCAACCATTTTCAGGTATAAGTTGTATTGGATATTCCTAGTCTTATTATATTCACATCACAGAATAAACATAAATATTCCACACAGTTTTCTTCTTTTGGAATGCGTGGTTACTCTGCTGTTACCATCCTTCCACCAGACAGCTGTGTGTGCATCAGTGTTCCCAGTGGCCTTGAAAGGGTTGTTCATCTTCCATAGTTCCCTGTAAAGTAGGCAGGTTGTCTTAGAGTCTCTTTACTCCTACTTTTATAGCCGCTTGTTTTTTCAGTCCTCTATTCCTTTTCCTTCACTCCTACATGCAGTACTACCTAATGTTTTTCTGTTGCCCCTTAGCTTATATCAGTCACATAATACTTCGGTACCTGTCCCTCTCCTGCCCCCATCAAAGTTTACAGAACTGAGTTCCAGTCCTTCACAGTCTTATTCTCAACAAGATAACAGAACATGTCTAATTCTTTTATGAAAATATTCTACTTATCTCTGAACATTTCGATAAGAGACAAATATTTAACGTACTGGAGTTACTCTAAGTGGTGGGGATTAGAAGCATGGGGCAAGCTATGATGGAGATCATTTTGGATGAGAAAGTCTTTCAATTGCCCTTTTGTCATACGAGGAAGGCAAAACTTAAATGTTGGGCAGGTACCATGTGATATACTATCCCTGCCTTTCTTTTCAAAGAAAACTTGAGAAGGGACACTGGGACATCATCAGTGGTGGTAGGATTCCTTCATTTACCAAAAGAAGCATCATCTAAATGAGTCCAGGTGAGATTAGGTAAGAAATGAGATAAAAAAAAAAAAAGAGAGACTTGTTCTTGAAATCAGCCGAACTCATAGCCTGGGGCAGGCATTTGTAGTCAGCTGAGTCACACTGCCTTGGGATTAGCCAGCTCAACTTTCCATTTTAATAATAAAAAGTCTTGCAAAACTGCTGGCATGTGAGACAGAGGTATCCAGAAAATCTTGGCATCTTTTCCAGCAGCATAACGTGTCTTAGGGAAGAGACTTGTGAGAGCATGGTCCATGCACTCCACCACCAGGGAGAGGTCCAGGTTCACACAGGATATGTTGCCTTTCATTTTGTCTAGACCTGTAAAAAAGAGAAAAAAGTACATTCATTCTTTGTCAAAAAGGGAAAAAGAGTATGTGAGGTTAGGGTGCAAAGAGGATGATGCATACGTGGGAATTCAAACTTGCCATTATAATTGAGGCCCATGGTGATGGGTTTCTATCTATTCCTTAGAAAAGCATGCAGGAGTGCTTTCTTTAGACTGTTGGCTCTTAAATTTGAGTGGGCAGCAAAATCTCCTAGAGGGCTTGTTAAAACTCAGATCGCTGTGTCCCACCTCCAGTAGGTGTAAAGTGAGGTCCAAGAATATGCATTTCTATCAAGTTTCCAGGTGATGCTGATGGCACTGGTCTAGAGACTAAACTTTGAGAAGCACTCTTTTCAAGCAACAAGGTAAAGATACTTCATAAAGTCTATGAGCCTCCTGAGCCCAGGAAATTATGGGTTTGATTCTGAATTTGTTTTAAGGGAGTACTATGTTTATAGGAAATGCGGGTATACACGTAGTTTGTGCGTGTGTGTGCAGGTAGTCATATATCACCTATCTCTATAACCCGGTGAATAAAGAGAGTCATTCCCCAAAAGCCTTGACTCAGGAAGCTAAACATATCCTGGTTCTCAGGCAAGTGAAGTGTTTGAGTAATGACTTAAGGTACTTTTGAAGAGGTAGGTATTTTATCAAGGGATTGGTAATGGCTTGGAGCGTTCCTCCTATGCTCTTAAAACACACCTGAGTTGTGTTTTCTCAAGGGAAATGTATTATTTTAAATCTTCCTTTCAACTTCAGGCCCCAGTAGCCACAAGTTGTTCAAAAAGCCTCACAGTTTACCTAATAAGTCTTAGTGTTACTGTAAACTCCTACTACCCCACCCTGGGGAACGAAGAAAAGTGAGCTTGAATTTGTGGTCTGCTTTGGAACTGAGTCTTGCTGATCTCTAAGTCCTGACTTGGAAAACTCTAATAAGTAAATCTGTGTAAAACTGGGTTTGAATCCAACTGGTACTTCTGAGACAGGACATTTGAACCAGGGGCCAATGCAAATATAATTTTGAGATGGAAGTTGATGATATATTTATATGCATTTAGAAAGTATCAATGTCAATATCAATAAAGAAAGCTCTTTTAAATGAAAGTTTTGTTTCTGAATTTACTCAGAACCTTCAGAATTGGTAAGGGAGTGAGAAAAAGCATTTAATGGCAGTGGTTTTAAACCTACAGCAACATGTCGGCACTGTCAAACCAGATGTTCTAGTTGATATATATATGTGTGTATCTCTGTGTGCATATGTGTGTGTGTGTGTGTGTGTGTGTGTGTGTGTGTGCGTGTGTTTGTGTGTCTATAGTGGGTGGGGTGGTTGGGGGAGTCAGTCATTCTAAAAACCTCCCCAGGTGTCTCTGACTTGATCTTGGCTCCGCCTTGCAAACTCCTAGCCTTGAACCTTACTACAATTGGCTGTCTTACCAAGCCCCTGATGAAGAAGAAAGGTCACAGTTTGGGGGGATAGAGTGACACTATTAGGAGGGGCTTGGTCCAGCTCAAAGCAGGAGCTCAGTACGAGTTCGAAGAATATCAAGTATACTTTAACAGGGCCAGAAAGTTTGAGGTGGAGGTGCAGCCCTGATACAGGAAGTACGACCAGCTCTGTAATGCCTTGTTGACAGTATAGTGTGGTGCCCAAGAATAAATGGCAAAGTCAGGGTAACTGGATACAAATCTAACTTCCCCTTACTTACTAATTGTGCAACTTCGGGCAAGTTATTTCTCTGTGTCTCTGTTTCTACAAAATTAAGATGGTAGCTACACATAGGGTTTATTTGGGCATTTTAAATGAAAGAGTTCATGTAAAGCTATTATAATGGTGACAGGTACATAGTAAATTTTCACTATGTTAGTTCTCATAATCTAATCTTTATTATTATTCCTCCATCCCTGACTCAGTCTCTGGACTAATGTTACTTCTTCCATCTCCACTCCCCATGCATTCATGCTCCAGAAACTTTCTACCAACATAATTCCTTCCAGTCCTTTAAGCTTTATTCAAACCTGACTTGTCACATAAAGGCTTCTTAACCAGCAATGGTTTTTTTGTTTTGTTTTTTGTTTCCCCTTGGTATGAATTCCTAGGGCATTTAGAGACCACACTATCTAGCACCCTTCTGGGCTGTTGGGTTAAGTCTAAGAAGTAAAGGATCGATTTTCTTGCATGCTATACAGTCTCATTGTTTTATAGTCTCACTTCATTACTTTTTGTTGTCAACTAGATTGTAAGCTAGTCAAGGGTCAGAGTCTGAGTCTTTATATTTTGTAATCTCTATAAGTCCTGAAACAATGTTGAGTGAGTGGTTGGTGTTTACCAAAAAGAGGAGTTTTGTGTAGAGGTGAAGACCATGGGTCCTAGCACAGGCACAAACAAGAGGAGTTGTATTACCTCGGTTGAGACATTTCAGCTTTCCAAGCCTCTGCTCACTACTTCCATAGTTTTTTTGAGGAGTAAATGGTATACATAATTTATAAGGTGCTTAGTAGAGAACATGGCACTTAGTAAATAATCAATAAATGTTTATAAACTCTCTGAGAAGCAAAAGATAACATTGGAATTAATAGGAACACCTGATCCATACCTAAGATCCTTATTGGACTATTATTATGAGAGCCTTATTTTTTCATTTATGTTCAAGCCTCCTTCATGATGTTTAGGACAAAGAATCCCAGAGGACCCAGGGCCCACCCAGAAACTCACATTTTTCAATGTAACTTTCTCCATATTGTTGTTTGATATCTGGAGACAGTTGTTTCCAAATGGCGAGTTTTTTTTCAGCGGTCTTTACTGGATCTGACAATTCTGTTTTGAACAATCCTGGTTCTATGCATGAGACGTGCACACCGAAAGCCTTCATGTCCCGTCTGTGAAAAGAATGCATTGCTGATGTTTAATGGAGGTTTATTTGGAGAATGTGTTCATTTGGCTGACTCTTTTCTTGTGGATTTTTTTGTGGAATCGCAGAACTGGGTGAATTGGAAAGGAGCATCTTGTTCTACCCTGCTTATTCTGCAGATGAAGAACCTGAAGTTCAGTGGGTGAAGTGAGGACTAGTTTAGTGAAAATATAGGAAAGAGATCTGGGAGGACCCTTTTCCTGGTCCAGTGTTTCCCCTTAGCTGTACTCTTATTAGACTGAGAAGCATTCCGGCTAAGGTCAGGTTCTTTTCAGTCCTCAAGTGTAACTTATGGTGAAATTGACTAACACCTGGCCTGGAAAAACAAGTTTATCTCCATTCTAGGAATGTGAGGAGATTACAGCTGAATGAAGATGTGCTGAGGGACACAATGTGACAATCTTGACTTGACTAACCTGTTCTCAATGCTGCTCAGCAAGTTTTTCATCATGTTGCTGCAGAAAATCAAGTCTACGCATTTATTAGGCAACAGGGTTTTGGGGGAATTGTGGTGCCCCTTTCTTTAAAGCAATTCAATGTATGACAAATCATTATATGAATAATTATTTTCTATATTTAATTTATATTTCCAGTAAGAATATATAAGAAAGCAATTACTGGTGAATTTAAATGTGATTGAATTTATCTTAGGTTCTGCTTTCTAGCAAGACAGCTATTGTTTAGTTTTAAGTACATTTTACAAGAATGCAAATTAGTTTGACCTTGACATATTTTGAAAGGTACTCACTTGTATTAAAATAAAAAAGATTATTTTTCAACTTAATTGTCTTTCAGTCACCTATCTTCTGATCTCTTTTGCATTGTGGAAAATAACAGTGCCAAGGGGTATTTAGGAAGACTTATCTCCCCACTTACTCATGAAAATAACATATACTCTAAGGACAAATGGCTTTACGCCACTCAACTAACTTTCCCAGGTAAGTAAAACCAGTATGAAACCAATATACTTGCTGGGCAAGTACAGCTTTAAAGAGTCCCCACCCTTTCCCAGTTGGACTGCCTCCTCTAAGCTCTCCTACTTATAAAAATTCTGGAGTACCACAGGACTGCGGCTTGCATACAATGGTATTGAAAATACCAGTTCCATGATTTAGAAAGAAATAAACCCTCCTTATCGGTTAATTGCAGGCATGGCATAGCTGCATTGCAATCTCGCAAACCTTTCAGTTGAAATCTCTCTTTAACAGTGGATAAATCTCTAAGTATACTAAAATATTATTATGACACTGTTGCTGAAAGTAGAACCAAGGGGCAACCAAGGAGACTAATGAAAGTACACCATGACCTTGCTATTCAAAGTGGGATCCCTGAACCATGGGCAGTTCTGATTCAGTGGGTCTGGGGTGGGTCCCAATTTTCTGCTTGCTATAAATGCAGAAAATTGGGGCCCACCCCAGACCCAGTGAATCAGAATCTGAATTTTGAAAAAAATTAAGGTGATTCATATGCACATTAACATTTAAGAAGCATTGTTCTGACATTATTGTGTTTACTTCCTGGGAGAATCAAACCCGGCAACCTGATCAAATGGCCAGACAGAGTTGCTCTATCCCTATTAATCTCAGTAGAATAATCTAACCTTTTATTAGTAAGCTAAACCTAGATCCATGACATAGAGCACAACTCTAAAATGTGCCTTCAACAAATACTACTTGAATAAATAAATGGATGAATTGAGGGAAAGACTATACCTAATTTTGTCTTTTCTCTTGCATATCATGGCACACTAAGCTGGATATCTTCCATTTGCTTCTCTAGTATTCTCACCCTTCTGCCTGATCTGTATCCTGGGAGGCCAACCTATATTAATTATATCTGGGCTTTCTGTAGGGTACAGTCAATTGGGAGTACTGGAGGGAGATCAGGGAGAGAACAGAGAAAGAGGTTGGGCTAGTTATTCCCCCTGTGATGTCAACACTGGTTACTTTTTTCCGTCAATTGAAGATGACAGCCTCTATGTATCCAAGTTCTAGAAACTTCCTTGTCTCCTTCCTTCAGTCCTGTGGTTAGAGCTGCCCCTGCTGTCATTAATCTCTAGATACTACACTATCTTTTGGGATTTCCCTGCACAACTCCCATGTTTGTCAATAATCCTTTAAGTAAGCTCTGCTATATTCACCTAATTTTAATGTGCCTCCATTTCCTACCAGAATCTTGACTAATGCAACCACTTGCAATTTAGGGGCTTTGAACTGATAGTAATTTGTTCTGGTTCCAGGTAAAATTGACAAAGTGTCCACCCCGTCCCTGCATCTTTTCCACTGAACGTAGCTACAAAACTTGGACAGACTGCATGGAACAGCTTCTTAAGAACTCTAAAATGAAAATGTTAGCAGTTGAGGTAGAAAAGAAAACTAAATTTTAAAATTCCACTGAGCTACTTGAAAAATACAATAACCAAAATAAAATATTTATTGATTGGACTCAATAGCAGAATGGAATAGAAGAAAAGTCAGTACATTTGAAGAAAGATTGTTAGAAATTATCCAATCTGAACAGCAGAGAGAAAAATAATCAAAAAAGTGAAAAGAACCTTAGGGATTTGTGTCACAAAACCAACAGTTCTAACATTTGTGTTATATAGTCTTAGAAGGAAGCTAGAGAGTGGATTGCGGAAAAAAATATTTGATGAACTAATGGCTGAAAACTCCCTAAATTTGGTAAAAGACATAACCCTACAGACTCAAGCAGCCCAGTGAAACTCAAACATTATAAACCCCTAAAGAAATACATGCTTGGAGGTGCTGAGTTGGGGCGTTTATTTGCTAAATTGGTCCTTTGTTTTGAGCTCTGGGGTTCCCTGACAGCACACAGCAAAAAGATGTGCTCAGTGCTTTCTCATGGCAGCAAAATATCCGCCTTTGATCAGTAAACTTCTGCTCCGAGTTTCATTTGGAAATGGTAGCACCAGAGAAAAGCTGTCTTTCTTATCCTCGGGGTTGGAGTGAAGAGGTTACGGTTCATTTAGCTAGAGTGTCTGAAATGTATGGAGATTTGGGTCCAGAACTTGCAACAAGAGGAAAAAAAGGCTGCATAGCTGAGTCATTACTTTGTGATATTCTATTTACTTTACCAGATAATTTTCTACTGAGGATTTAAATAAGATAATATTATTTTGTCTGCCACTGACAGTAACACCAATGGAGAGACCTACCCTGATTTAACCTTTGTATGTGATTCCTGAACTATTTAACAAGTTGTCCTGTTGAATATAAATTTATCACCACTATCAGCATCATGCATTAAAGCAAAAAATAAAAAATGTTTAAATCTCAGTTCTATAAACATAGACTTAGGTTCAAATCTCAGTTGGATGACTTTGGGCAAGTTATTTAATCTCTCTTAGTTTCACTGGGATCATCTATAAATTGTGAATAATTTAAAGCAGCAAATAGAGTGTCTGGTACATAATAAACATTCAATAAATGTTAGCAGCTATTATTTACTAATATGTCAGTGTTTACTTTACCTTAAGCTGTCATTGAAGCCTTCGACTGCATATTTAGATGGAGTATAGCCCCCTCCGCCGAATGCAAGCCGACCCGCAATGCTGGAGACATTGATAACCCTCCCTCGAGCTTTTTTGACTAAAGGAAGCATATTTAATGTCACATCGATGAGTCCAAACAAGTTCACTTCTACAGGTTCTCTGTAGTCCTCCACTGTCAGCCAGTCAGTGGGAGCCAGTGCACCAAGAACACCAGCATTGTTGATCAGACCCCAGAGACCTAGAACAGGGAGGAAGGAAAGGAGGTGTGGTAGCAGCATCCTTAATGGAAATACAGCCCCCGCTTTACACAATGGTGTCATTTCCTCCTCTAGTCATACTTCTGCTTTGAAATACTTTGCACTTTAGGGAAGCGATAGCAGAAAGGGTAGGAGACTAAATTTACATAGTTGAAGTTTTGTTATTGGAAACCACCTCAGAATTATTCTATTTCTGGTTCTGATTGTCAAATACAGATACTGTCTCAGTGAGAATATTTATAAACTGTTATATGTGGACAAAAAAACCCCCCCAAAACCAAAAAAAAACCCAAACAAAAACCCCCTAAAAAACCAAAAAACCCCCCCCCCCCCCGCATGTATATGGACATGTTTATTTTTGGTGAAAAACAGTTTATCATTCACTTGGCTTATTTACAATGGGAAACATTTAATATGTGCAAAGGTTTTGAAATTCAAGCTTTAAAATTATCTGGAGCTTTTTAAAACCATTGGTTTTGAGGTTCAGACTCTCAACTATATTGTAGAGATAGTGATAGAGAAAAACATTTGTTTTTCCCTTTGTGGCTCCAAATATCTTCATCCATGAAAAAATTTCAAACTGCATTCAAGCCAATAAAAGTCCTCAAGTTCAGAATGCTGTCATGTAATGCAGAATGAAGTCCAATGGCTCACTACTCTACCATGACTATCTAAGACACCTATTCTCAAATTCTCATGCCATTATATGCTTTCCTATTGAAATATATAAGCTCTGGAATCATTTTGTAGTGAGAAGCAGGTCCCAGGTATACAGATGGCAATTCAAAGATTGTTCCCATATTCTCCTACAGATTTTAGCCCCAAGTTGCTTTGCTGTGTATATGGCTAAAGTAGCACTTCATGGGAGGAGACCAGCAAAAGTCAATACCTCCATCTCAGTTCTAAATTCAGCCACTGGGACTTAAGACTGAAGAGAACTTGGGCTGTGTCTCTCACACACACAGAGAGCTTGCAGCTTGGAACTACGTGGGCTATCCTAAGATTTCTCTACGCTCTCTAGTGTATAGCTGGTATTTAGGAGATATTTTCTTGAAAGGCTATTTAAAATCTGAACACATTTTATTTTACTTTAGTTACTTCACAGCACCCCCTCAAGTCTCCACATTCCCACATCACTCACCTTTTTCCCCAACTTGATTTTTCACCCACTGGGCAGTCCTCTTGACATTCTCTGGGTCAGTTACATCCAGAAGCATAGTGTGAAGCCTCTCTGAGGTTTCTGCTTTTAAAGCTGTTAATCCTGATTCAGTCAGACAGGCAGCAATTACATGAAATCCTTTTTTATCAAAAGTTCTGGCTGCCAAGTTTCCAAAACCAGTGTCACATCCAGTAATGAAAACGTACTTATCAGTGATGTCTGCAATCTTTAGCTGTCCTTTATAATTCCATAAAAAACCACAAAGAATTAGGAGGGCTAACACCAAAAGGAGCATTTTGTTTTTCCTGTGTATGACAGGGACACTTCTTTCTTGAACAATAAAAGATGTTGTCCTGAATGTGCAAAATTAGAAAAAAAAATTCAAATTAGAACCATCAAGGCATTATAAGCTACGATTGATGAACGAGATATTTTAATACATTTGAGTGGATAAATACATGATTAAAAAAGTAACACATTTGATTGAGAAGATGATCATTTAAGTGCTGAACCACTCCTCTAAAGTAATGCAAAAACTAATTAAGTAATAGCAAAAGTAAATGGAAGAGATTGAGAGAGAGAGAAGAGCCATAGCAAAGCTGATACAGGTCATTGAATTGATGTGACATTAATCTCATGAAATTCAAGAGTAGAAGAGACAACATCTATTAGAAAATGTTGTTCAATTTTAATTGATTGATCAGATTCTTAATTATTTTCAGACTGCTAGGAAAAGTAGTGGTTTGGTGTTGCCACTACAAAAATATTTGCAAGTTGGTTTCCATTTTCTTATTTCAGTGGGTTAATGTCATCTTTCAACTCAATTCTAAGACCATTACAACTTAATACGGAGCGTATTACTGAGATAATAACAATTTTTTTCAGACTAGAATGATTAATGGATGCTCAAACTAGTAGGTGAAATTCTGACGAGAAATGGTAATTATAGAATCTCAAAGAATCGCCCCATAGGACACGTACTAATTAAAAAAAGAGCAATAGTAATTTTACAGTGGGGAGATCTAACAGATACCACCTGAACCAAGTGATAAAAATCAATACTTATGGTTATAGGAGAAACCAAGGTCATGCGCCCTCTGGTATGGCACACTCTTCAAAAACCTCAAAGTCATGAAAGAAAAGAAAGACTGAAGAAGATCCCAGATGCCACACTGGGAAGAATGCAGAGAACGTCTATACATAACTGGAAGCTGATAACGCACGGGACACATCTTTCAATTCTACACAATGAATAGTCTGTACTCTTCAAAAATGTCAAAGACATGAAGGAAAAGAAAGACTGAGGACTGTTCTAGATTAATGGAGACTAAAGAGATCTGATAACCCAGTGCAACATGTGACCCTGGACCGAAAATCATTCTTTTCTTTTGCCGTAAGGCACATTATTAAGCGAACTAGTGAAATTTGAGCAAGATCTGTAGATCCGATAAATAATATTGCATTAATATTAATTTCTCAATTTTTATAATTTATTATGATTATCTTGAAAATGTTCTGCTTTTTGAGAAATACACACTGAAATATTTAATGACTAGTACCATATCTTCAATTTACTCTCAAACAATTCAAAAAATAATGTGTATATAAATAAATGAACATTAAACATATATGTATGTATATAAAGAAAGAATGAAAATATAAATGAGGCAAAATGTTAATATTTGGGAAATCTAGGTTGTACTACTCTTTCGACTTTTCCATAAGTTCTAAATTGTTTCAGAATAAAAAGTTGAACATTCGGCAAGGGAAAATAAAACATTTTTTTTTTTTTCCGAGTAAAGGCTTTGTTGGATTGCTTTGGTAAGAACATAGGTAAGAACCCTAGGACTCTAGAATTGAATGACCTTGAACCCCAAGTTTTCTGCCTTCTGCTTTTTGATAAGTGCACCTTCACAACTGCTAGAGAAAAACAAGCAGTCAACCAAAGCTATCGACTCCCTCTTCTCTTTTCATCCTTTCCATTTCCCCCTCAACTTCCTCTTTCCC